ACCTGCCCCGGTGCCGCCGCCGGCCGGGGCTGCTGGACCCTGCGCGCTGATGGGGTGCGGGGAGGGCTTTGCTTTGAGCATCGCGATGGGCTTCTTTCCTAAACATCAGATTAACGTGTAACGACTGACGGTGCTAAACACCTATGATGTAAATGCAGCTGAATCGCCCCCCAAGCCCGTTTGTCTCGAGCACAAGTGCTATGAGGAGAGGCTGAGGGAGCTGGGGGTGTTTAGCCTGGAGAAGAGGAGGCTCAGGGGAGACCTTATCACCCTCTGCAACTCCCTGAAAGGAGGTTATAGTCAGGTGGGGGGTGGTCTCTTCTCCCAGGCAATCAGCAGGAGGACAAGAGGGCACAGACTCAAGCTCTGCCAGGGGAGGTTTAGGTTGGATATTAGGAAGAGATTTTTTTACAGAGAGAGTAATCAGACATTGGAATGGGCTGCCCGAGGAGGTGGTGGATTCACCATCCCTGGAGGTTTTCAAGATGAGACTCGATGTGGCACTTAGTGCCATGGGCTAGTAACCACGGTAGGGGTGGACTCGACGATCTTTGAGGTCTCTTCCAACCGGGTTGATTCTATGATTCTGTGATTTATCCCTTTACTAAGAAAGAAATCCTTTTTAACTGCCATTACCGAGCTAGTCTCTGTGTGGCAATTCTTGTTTTCAAGTAAAATAAGCATCAAATAAGCAATTCAATTCAGGCACATGTTAGTTTAAGAACAGCTGTTGGCTTCCTGAGTGGGGCGAGGTAAGCCCCCCAAAAGAGAAATTAAGACCTGAAGGGGCTCTGATCTCTCTTACAGAAACTACCTTTGCTTTCTGAAACTGCACATTCATTACATTTTCCAGTTTTTCCAAAACTCAACCTTTCAGGAAGCAGCTGCTTTAGTGTGAGAGAATAATGTGTTAGCAGCACTTGTGTTCTGATTGTGTACGTTGACTGTATGGTATTGCCTAAAATAGTTCCTCAGAAAGAAAACAGTCTCATACAAATACTCCACCCATGGGTATATGCAAAGGCTTTTGATACTAAGAACTTCAATGCTTACCTGTTGCAAGAGAACACGGGATTGTCTTGTAACAAAACAACTTTGAGCATGATTCATCTTTCATTAAACATGAATAAGGACGATGCTGAAACCTCTGGAAGAAAGCTGCTTGGTTTTCCTACAGAAGAAAAAGCCTGTAAAATTACAGAATTCTTACTTATAAATAACTTATCTTTAACATTTTACTGGAAGAAATGGGTGAGCGCATCAGTGACCTCGAGAACCGTGTTGCTGACCTGATGACAGAGGCTGGGATAGAAAACAACAATGAAGAGTTGACAGTAAGAATGCATTAAGTTTTTCTGTATATGTTTTCACTTAGATTTGAACAATGAGCAGCAACTAGCATGAAAATAGTGTTTACATGTTTATCATATCTGCATTTACTTGGATTTGGAAGTGTACTAAGAATTTTAAAAGCGTATTTTAAAATAACCTTGGATTTCCATTTGCCAAGAGCCAAAGAATGCTGCCACTTTTACAAAAGAAAAACTGTAACCTGTTGCTGCATCTGTTCCAGCTGAGTGCTATATACGAGGGGTAGTACAAACTAATCCCAAGTATGTAAACTGAGGCTGTACATTTGTAATGAACATGTGTGGCTTATTAGTGCTCCTGCCCACCATTCCTGTCCCTCAAGTATGCTAACCTGGCTGACCATTCTTGCTGGTATAAATTTATGTACATCTGCTTTTAAACCTGCTTCAGCTGGCCAGCGCGGCTCAGTGCAGACCTTTTTTGTGGATACACCTCTTAAATGCACTCACCCCAAACACAGCAGTAGTTGGTTCCACAGCAATAAGTTGCAGTCAATCAGTTTGTAATATAAAATCATGCTAAGTTTCAGGATTATGTGCTAGATTTTATATTAGTCTGTTGCAAATGCCATGCCCCTCTCTGATGGTTGCTCAACTGGGTGTTCACAGAATCAATGAGGTTGGAAAACACCTCTGAGATCAAGTCCAGCCTATAACCTAACACCCCCATCTCAACTAGACCATGGCACTAACTGCCACATCGTCTCTCCTTAAACATCTCCAGTGATGGTGACTCTACCACCTCCCTGCGCAGTCCATTCCAGTGTGTAATCACCCCTTCTGTGAAGAAGTTCTTCCTAATGACTAACTTAAACTTTTACTGGCGCATCTTGAGATGATGTGTCCTCTCATCCTGTCACTAGTTGCCTGGAGAAGAAACTGACCCCACCTGGCTATAACCTCCTTTTAGGTAGCTGTAGAGAGCCTCTTCCACTCCAGGCTAAATAACCCCAGCTCCCTCAGCCCCTCCTCACAGGACTTGTTCCAGCATTTATGAGACAGCGTTGCTTCCGTGTTCTGTGGATGCAAGTGACATCTTCCTGTTGTTGCAGACTTTCCTCATTCAAAATGAGACACATCAATTATTCTTGTCATTGAGACTGCTTACCCAGTGAGAGACAGAATTGCTGTAAATATTCTGAAGTCATTTAGGCATCTCTTCATTCTCATGACTTTTTCATGCTAAGCTGTGAAGCAGTTTTCAGAAATTCAGAAAGACAATCCACGAGGATGTATTTAACTGTACAGAGATCTTCCTGGTTTTATGCTGAATCACATTCATGAATAATTAAACCACTAACCTACTTATTCACTGCTTCTTTGCAGCACTGAAATGAGGATGTGTTCGAGAGAGATAAAAGCAGAACAGCCCTGCACTGATTCTGGGAGTTAACAATCAGTGTCACATTGACAAAAAGTGTTAAGGGAAAACAGATATTGGATCATGTCACAACAGAATCTCAAAATATTTTTAAAACTATTGCCCCAGGAAACAAGTAGAAAGCTTTGTTTATTAATCTAAATGGGGCACTGTATTCAGGGAAGGCAAACCCACTGCTTTGTGTAGAAAACTGTATCCTATGTAGTGAACTTACCCATCACACATTTTTTCAATGTATGAAAATTTATTTTAATATTAAAATAGTAACATTTCTTTGTTGCCTTTTTAGCTTATATGTTCTCAGTATAACAAGATCCTTATGTAACCAAACTTTTTTAATTGCATGTGGTGTTTTGTTTTGTTGCTTATTGAAATGTTTTCCATCACCAAATGCATCTTATTTGATGCCCCCAGCAGACAGTGAGTAGATGAAAAGCAGCTAGGCCAAGGGGTAATCCAGCAACTGTTTTTGTCCCAGCACATTTTTCTGTGCCAGTGGTGCATTAAAGTCTGCGAGAGTTAATGTGCAACTAGGCACTTGTAGCTGAGAAGGATTGCTCAGAGCACTGTTGTCTGTGTGCAGTTTACAGGCTGCCGTGGGAAGGTGAATGCCAACTGAGATCAATCCTACCAGGAGCATGTGGAGGCCATCCAGGGTCCAGTTGTAGAGTTGGATGACTTGGCTCCTTCTGGGTGTTCCTGGGAATAACTGGATTCATAGCTGTATAGTTCAGCCTCACAGTTACAGCCAAGGCTGCACATAACCTTTCTTTTGCAGCCTGTAAACTGCACCAACAACAACTAGATGAGTGACTTACCACCTACCTATATGCAGCATATGTACCAGCATAAGTGCAGGAAAGTGCACAAACCTGTCTGTGCTGCTGTTTATAAGCTGCAAGGGGAAAGTGAAAACCACCACACGCTTTTGCTTCTAACACCTTTAGAATCTCAGCAGTTGCTGGATCATGTAAGTTTTGCAGCCAAGCTCAGCAAGACAAAAAGAACTTACTCATTCTCTGCAGCTGAGCAGGAAAATGCCTCTCTAGGGTGTTTGCTGCGGTTCGAAGGTTTACAACACACAGCAGCTCCCATACAAAAGGTCCTGAAAAAAAACTCCAATGCACTGGCATTCCCGTCCTCTTGCTGCTCTATATTGCAGACAGACTACAGCCATCAGCTTTTTCCTTCGTTAGACACACATTTTAGTCTATACTGAAAGTGCACATACACTCACAGTACAGGCCCAGTTTCAGTCTCACGGATTCCAGACTTTCCATCTTCATCTCACGCAGAAATACATGCCAGGACAGAGGCATTTTCTACATTACACCTTCCCCTCAAAGCCTTTCAACTATATACAGCACACAGGAGCTATGTGTGTTTTCCTCAGCTTCATGTACACACTGTTATAAGCACATTGTTACACACGTGGACATCCTGCAATGTCCTGCACAAGCTCCTACACAAACCATCTTGAGAAACCAACCCCGTGCTGGCATCCACCTTCCCGTGGCAGCCTGTAAACTGCACACAGACAACAGTGCTCTGAGCAATCCTTCTCAGCCACAAGTGCCTAGTTGCACATTAACTCTTGCAGACTCTAATACACCACTGACACATGAAAATGTGCAGGAACAAAACCCGTTGCTGGATTACCCCTTGGCCTAGCTGCTTTTCAGATACTCACCATCCCCTGGGGGTATAGACTTAGCTTCCAAGACCATTGACAGCCAGTGACCCCAGAATACAGTCATTGCCAGTTACTTCCAGAAAGAATTGAGCTGTTCCCAGTCACGCTTAGGATGATCCTAGCTGCTCCCAGTGCAACCCCACTCAGCACCAGTATGAGCCCAGTCAATACCAGAAGGATTCCAGATATGGCCCAGAGGATTCCACTTGCCACCAGCTTAGGCCCAGTTATTCATGGTCACTTCCAGTTCATTCCCCAAGATTTTATTTGCTCACAGCCACTCCCAGTTACACACAGACTCTGCCAAGGAGCTGCCAGCACACTCCCAGTCACTGACAGTTGCTCTAAGATGCTTCTAGCAACATCCCTCTTGTTCACAGACACTCCCAGTCACCCTCAGTGTGTTCCCAGTTGTGGCCGGTCACACCCAGAGTGTTCCCAGTCACTCTCAGTTGCTTCCAGCACAATCCCAGTTGGACACAGACACTCTCAGTGTTTCTCAGTGAGGTCACAGTTGCTCCCAGTATGATCCCAGTCACCCCCAGCAGGAGCCTGCTTGCATTCAGTATATCCCAGTTGCCCCCTGGGATATACCAGGCAACATGCTGGTCAGTATTAGCACAACTAGAGCCAGCAGGTCATTCCCCTCTAGTCAACTGCTGTGAGACCACACACAGAATACTGTGTCAATTTTGGGGCTCACTAGGTCAAGAAATCTGTCATGAGGGAATTAAAAGAGAAAGCCACCAAGACATAGTGGAGTGCAAAGCACACAAGAGTTTGAGAGAGTTCTGTTAGTAAGGCCTTAAGAAAAGACTGGCTTCTTTCTGCCAAGAACTACCCCGTGGTAGAGTATGGGGAAGAGTTAAGACTCTTGAAGGTGTTTTACATGAGAGAGTTAATAGAGAGAAGGTGAAACACAGAAAATTCCAGCTAGATGCAAGGAACACCTTTTTCAACTATGAAGGTTCTCAAGCAGCAGAATAAGCCTTCCAGAAAGGCTGAGGAATCTCCATCCTTAGAGATCACAGTACCATCAAGGTAGAAAGACACCTTCAAGATCATCTAGTCCAACCAAAATACTCAACACTGGACACAGTCTTGGGCAACCTGACCAAGTAGGACCTATTATGATTGCGAGGACAAACAATTCCAAAGCTAATAACCACTGCAAACCAGATTAACTTCAGCAGAAATCAGGACCCTTGTGTTTTACTTTCTTGACTCATTCTAAATCCTCTAAAACACTTGACAGAAAAGAGGCATGGTGACAAACTGGACTAACACCTACAGGTACCTCCTTTCTGGAGAAAGGAGACAGCCTAGTTTGTTTTTAATTAATCCTGTAAATATGCACGTTTCATCTTAAAGACAAACCCACACACAACACCAACTCCACTACCACAAAAGTAGTCAGAAATGCAAATGGAAACTTCAAAAGCCATGTCACAGTGGAACCCAAGTCTCCTGAGTACATGTGCATTTTAGTATGCCATTAGACAAACTGGAGGCAAGTGACAGAAAGCACAGCTCAAAGTTTCTTCAACTGTTTGACTCTGCATCACCTCCAGAACTGCAATTACGCATTGGCACTGCAGAATCTGCTTAAGTACTTCAAACTGCCTACTGTGTGCACAGCCACTGTGAAAAAGGAGTCCATCACCACAAATCAGTTAAGTGGTCCTGGAAGATGTTTTCTCTGAGTTTTGCTAAAAATTAATTCTTTGACTTTGGAACATATGAATAAATTCATCTTAGTGTTTTATTCCCATTTTTAGTGGATACAGAAGACTAATAATATGCTAAGCTAGGAAATCCTGACAAAAGTGATCATCTTCAACATTATGGATTTGCATCTAATTCCATCTGTTTTCATTTTCGAATTTAATTAGCTGGAAAAAGTTAAGGTGAATAAGTGGAGCTCACTTTATTTTTTTAAAAAAGCTATAGTAAAGTTTTCCCAAGTATCTGTGTAACAAACACCACCAGTTGTTTTTTCTGCAAACAAGCTTTCTGTGTACAAAAATACATAATACCAAAAGGACAACAAAGAATAATGTCTTTAAAAAACAAACCCCCAAAACTCATCTACAATATTACTGCAGTCAGACAGTTCCAGGCTTCAAGTCTTCTACTTTTCAAACAGAATTCAGACCTTTTAAATAATTCAAAATATGCTCAAAGTTCAAGGATTTTAGGGTTTTTGCTTTTAATACACATATATGTACACACATAGACAGTAATAAATTTAAGCAGATATCAGGTTAAGAAAAAAGGCAGCACAGAGAAACGTCAGTATCGGTATTTAGTGGAATAATCCTTTGGCGATACCACCAAACCTCGACCTTTGCGGGCGCCTCTATAAACAGTTTCTATAATGTCAATCATCTCTTGCTTATCTTCCATTGCCCAGTTGATCTTGTTGTTATTTCCCGTACCTAAATCAATCATGATGTGTTTGTTCCTTTAAAGGGAAAGAAAAAAAACCAAGTTAATACGGCACTGTAATTCAGAAATAAACTTTATATCCCCCCCAAATGCTTTGGCTGATTCAAAAGAAGCCTTTATAATACAAACCAGCTTGCAAAGTAAGCATCAGAGTATCCATTCCTGTCACTTAAGCTGACATTTTACTGCCCATTCCTAAAGCAAGAGTAGCAAGGACTGCAAAGATAACCACCAAGACAGCTACTCAGTGCAATGATCCCTCAGCATGTTTCTCATAGTTTGTGTTTCTGTAACTACTGTCTATCTCCAGAGACACTTCCACACTTGTCAGTGGAACATTTTCTCTCATCAATGTGGATACTTTAGCTCCAAAAAACCCTTATTACTTTGGATATATCTTTAAAGCAAATTTGACAAGCTTGATTGACATACTACTACAGTACAGGGAGTTTGAGATTAAAAACAACAGATATTAAAGCCAGTTTTCTCTGTCACTAATTTGTACTCTATTATCAAACACTGTTACTAGGTTAATTGGAAAACAAGTAATTTTCCTGTTTACTCAATTTACTCTTTCGTAGAGCAATGAAAATCTAAGCATCAGTATGACAATATGCATGTAGAAATGATCTACTGAGACACTATATTTGACAAACAGAAAACTTCAATGAGTTACATTCTAGAACCATGATGTACCTGAAGAAAAACATGACAGTACAGGGATCATACAACTCGTACATCTTGTTGAAGTCTGGTACTTCAGTGATATCCACAAGATAAATAACAGCAAAGTTTTTAACCTAAGCAGAAGAAAACAGGAAACATAAAAGCAATATATATTACCAAGCCGTTCACTATTTGCATTACTGATTCAAAGACAAACTTTCATTATGGTAACACTTATTTTCTTAATTATTAAGTCAAACCCACAATAAACAGCCCTGCTACTATTTTTAACCACAACCATGGGAAATACTTTTAAATAAAGCCAAGACCCTCATTTCACATCCAGTATCAGCTGGAAGGATACTATGCTAAATCAACATCCAGAGAAACAAATGCCCTTTATACAGAACTGAGACCTCACAGTGACATGCACAGCTCTAAGCAAGCAGAAGAACAGCTTTGTGCAAGCCAGGCTGACGCACTTTGCCTCTGTCATCAGCTGCTTATAGACCTCAGAAAATTAATGATCTACAAAGCCCTGGTGCCTGCCGCCAAGCATTTTTCCCCCTCTCACATCCAATTTGTCTAATGAGACTCATTTAATGACAATAAAACTGATAATTTAATTAAAAAATGGTAGCTTTTTTTGAAATGTGCTAAGCTAAAACAGGACCTTACAAGTGTAATTGCTACTGAAAGACTTTGATGAGAGGATATTCTCTGGACAATTCTGGTAGAAGCAGCTTTCATTTGGCAGAGGAACTCAGTTAAATGCACAAGAATCCCTCCCCTTTAATGTCATAGGCAATGCCTTCACTCCTGAAAGAAAACCATGTCACATTTTTGTTTCCTAGATGTAGCATGTTTGACCTTCAGTGGAATTAGGGGAAGTTCTAATTTTTAAAATTGGCTCCTATGTGTACAGTCACACTCACATTAAGATACAAGTCAGCAGTCACCTAAATTAAACAAACCTTTAAGGTATATTATCAAATGCTCATGCATTATACCCTGAGTGCACAACTGTGCCTCCCCATCCTTAGTCACATGCTAGGACTATTTTGGTCCTTCCCATCTGACTAGGCAGAATTACCAGCCTGAGGTTAACGCACGTGGTCTAAGATCAATGACAAACTTACTGTATGTGACAGTACTTCCCACCTGTTAATTTTGCTAGCAAAAGTCTGGAAAAGCTATGATGAGTATAACATCTGCTTTATGTAGCAATATTTTATTTTAATTCACAAA